AATTCAGTTTAATAGTGAGGACAACGATTTACATTATCAATATGAGAATGAGAATGCATCAGCCGAGGTTCAAGACCTCATCGCAAAGATGGAAAATGTAGATCATCGTCTTTTTGAATATCGTATTGTCAACCTATCCGAAAAAAGTCTCGTAGATCCAATAAATAAAGTCTTTTCTGATGATGATAAAAAAAGAATGAGAAAATTCTGGGAAGGGGTATGTATTATATTAGCTATCAGCTTTGGATTGTAATCGGTAATAATCTTGCACGTTTTTTAGATGGAGCCATCGGCCAAAGAGAAGCAGAATACATCGCGTCGATCTAGGTGGGAAAAGAGTATCAAGCCTCTAATTGAAAAGTATGCGCTTGCTGTTGAGGTGAAGCCAGAATCGGTTTTTGATGATGATGTTCAGCCACCATCAACAAAAATTATCTTCGAAATACCATTCGAGGGCGAGTTTGATCTCAAAAAACATTATGACATGTTATGGGTACAAGATATCTAACGGCGATTGTGGGTATACCGTATACATTATTACTTAGTATAATAATAATGAATTAATTAATTTCTGTATTATTTTAGCACGTTCTTGTTCGACTTATCTTTTAACATGCTTCGCGATGCAAATACATTGGAGATAGCTTACAGAGAATCATTCGTTAATCCTATAATTCCCAAGACATTCGAGGATGTGAATGACAAGATCAGGTTCGAAATGTATGTTATTATACTCTGTATAGTTTTAATTTTTTGTATTTATACCCGATGTAACGAACTCTTGATTAACCGAATATAATATTTGCCTAGTGGAGAGATAGAGAGCGCACTACGTAAACAACATCGAAACCAGACAAAAGGCCAAGAGCCTAGGGTAATGCTTGGGTCAAAACACGACGGGATTCTAAAGATTTATATGAATGCAAGTGAGATAGAGATTGGATTCTTAGAGGTTGTAGGGAACGCAATGGTTGTGGATCTTAAAAAATGTCGTGAAGATCTGGAGAAATTGTTTAAGGGTTCGTAATTGTTAGATATTCACGTCTTGAATTCTTTATGCAGTAAAGTTCATGGAATCTTTTTATCTTTGTAGTGATGCAGTTGTCAATATTTTACCAGCGACAGCACCACCTACGACGTAATGCAACAGAAGGACAACTTGACTGCCTTCAAAGTTTTGGTGTATTTGTGTACCGTACGTAGTGTTCGTGCTGTACTTATTACCGATTCAAATTATCCATCATATTTTGTCCTGTCATTTTAGAGCGTGAGACAACAATCTACACAATGCACCGTTATAAAGGAGGTTTGCACATTGTTGACGTCCTTACAAACTTCACGATTCCGGACAACAAGGACCAGGCATATGTGCTAGATGAAATCATAGAAAAAGTGTATTTTTTTAAGGTACAAGTCCTGGTAATCACTATATATAATGTTCGTTGATCTAACATTATATTTGACATTATAGAGCCGTGTAATGGATTATTACCTTAAGTTGCAGGAAATCTCGCGGAAGGCGCAGAAATATACTCCCTCAAATGAAAATCCGTTAGAAGCGTCACCAGCCAAAAAAAAACAATTGCAAAACGAATCAAGAATAGAGGAAATAATTCCCAAGAAATGATGATTTTCTTTCTACCTGTAACTGTTATTCGCAGTATATGATAGTGGTATTGATTTTTTCCCTAGTTTTTCTACTATACCTCTAATAATTTTTGCATTTAATAAAGCAGGCCCTGAGGCCAACCTTGCATTAAAACATCTGATAAGTTCGCTTATCATTATTTAATACTCTGATAGTTGAGCTAATAAATTATGTTACGATTGAGTCACCGTTAATTTATCGGACTATGACCATACATTAAAGATCTTGGATCTGCAAGAAGAGCTTGTCGGCACGGTATAAGAAATAACGTTTTCATGAAGGATTTAAATGCAGAATTTATAGTCAGTTGATGTCTGTATCAGGCAATAGAAAATTATTGTTTTTATTTGGTTTTACTAAAGTTTCAATAATGTAAATATATCATTGATTCATCATGGATAAATAAAGATTTCCGCATATATTGTAAATATATCAATCATAATTTTTTCTCTTGGCGAAAGTGATCTGCGTTCCAAATTGGAACGGACATATTTTTTTATTTTGAATAGTTACATTTTAAAAATAATGGCAAATACACAGTCTACAATCGATTCGTTAGAGGAACAGATTTCCAAGCTCATATCTGAGAATGCTGAACTTAAAAGAGAGAAGGCTGAATTCTCGGCTAAGGAAGCTGAGTTTATAGCTAGAATTGCGGAATTAGAACGGAACGCAAAAGAAAGTGCTAATAATGAGAAGCGAAGTCAGATAGAAAATTCTAAACTTAAGGGTAGAGTAACAAAACTAGAATGTGATATCAGGGAGATTAAACAGAAACAAATTACACCTATTGAAAACCATCTCGATAAAAAGAATGCGCAGATCACTGAATCGATTTCTAAGGATTTATCTATTTCTCCTAAAATAAATTCTGATGAATATCAAGAAGAGGTAGAATCTCGAGTCTCCAATTCATCTTCGACTGAATTGTCTATGTGCGGGTCTAAATCATCAGAAGATAAGGAAATAGATGATTTTCTGATCCGTAAAGACAAGGAAATGGTTAGTAATTTGATGAGGGAGAGAAATAGGGAAAAGAAGCTTCAACCTACCATTTCTTCTGAGAGCGAAGCTCATGACTCGGAGAGTCGCCTACAGGCTTGTTCCGCAATAATAAATTCTACAACTGAAATTCCCCAAGATACTATAACCCATAGCCAAAAAATAATTCAATCGGAACCTGAAACTTTTAATGAGCAAGGTTTGAGGTTTGAATTATTCATTTGCGTCAAAAACAATAGTAATGGAACTACGTAATAACGTAATTGATATACAGATCCCTGAATTCTCTTTAGAAACAATTCTAACAGGTTCTAGTGAAGTTACAGCAGAAAGTATAGTCGATTTATTTAACATTGCTATGAAGACTAGACAAAAGGAGATTTTATACTGGTACTGTTATTATAAATCATACGAGGATAGAGTTAGAAATATCAGGATTATAAATAAAATTGATGACAAATCTGCAAGAACATTGGTATATAATAAGGTATAGGAATAGATATTATTAGTCAGGTGACTTACAGTGCAAGTGCTATTTCGAGTCTAAAGGATATTCAAATTCAAAACATTGTAAATGATTTTTCTAGTTATAAAGTAACTGCATCCGGCAAGTCAACCGCTATAAATGAAAATCAAAAAGTGATCTCCGTTCCAAATTGGAACGCACATATGTCAGACCCATCTAGTTCGAACGATATATCAGTGAAGCTGGCATGTCCAAACACTGAGATAAATACACCAATTGAATCGTTTCCTTTAGAATCATCTCAAGTTTCCGATTCCTCCAGCTCTAAACCATCTCACGGAAACGATCAGGAGTCGAAATCGACAGAAAACGAATTCTCCAATAATAATATCTTACCAGAAATTAAGCTCCCATCCACGCCTCAGGAAAATATACAAACTCGTGATCATGCTTATTTTCGTAATAAAACATTAAAACAATACCCTAATTTATATAAAGATTGTAGTGATGGAAATAACGATTATTATGGAATTACTGACAATACATCATGTCCATTATGCGGATTAGATCATGATGACATTGAAGGAGAATATAAAAATGAAACTTACTATATTAAATGTGAACAGCGCATAGTTCAAATAACTGCATAAACTTTAGATGCGAAGCAGTCCTATCATTTCGTTATGTTTTATAACTTATTAGTACGCAATAAGAATAAAGTAGCTTAACTAGTCAAGTTTCAAAGAAATATTTTTTAGTACCTGATATTCAATACAGAAATTAAATTGCTTTGAAATTATACTGTATAAATGATAACATGGATGCAGAAGTCAAGACTGATAAATTATTAACCCCCTTATCTACTGGAAAAAATTCAAAGAAGTGGTACATACACGAAAACCTCTCTATATTTCAAAATTAAATGAACTTTATATTTCTAGATGTAAAGTCTCTGGTGGAACCTTATATCAGATTAGAGGTCTATGTCCAAACTTGCGACGCTTGACTATAAGCAACTGTCATGGATTTTCTGGCGAAACAATTGGAAGAATCGTATACCCGAGCTTAATATATCTTAAATTCCACAATAATGCAATAAATTCCCGTAAACGTCATCGTATCAAGGATAAAACTATTTATAATATTGCCTCTTCATGCCCAAATTTAACCTATCTCTATTTAGGATATAGTGAATACATCTCTGATATTTCTATTATAGAAATTGCCAAGTCGTGTCAAAAGTTAAAATATATCAATATAGGTGGTGCCCACATTACTGATATCTCATTAAAAGAAATCGTTCATCTGTGTTCGAACCTTCAACATATCCACTTGATCGATTGTGAAAAAGTGACGGATTATGGAATTAGCGTTATAGCAACCTCATATCCAAATATGCTTAGTTTTTCTTTTACAAATGGAAACGGTTCATATGATAAATTTAATAATGAGGGCATTTCCGATGCTTCTATTAAAAAAATCGCTCAGTGTTGTCCCGATCTCCAATATCTTAATGCTAGTTGGAATTGTATATCCGATGATTCCATTTGTATAATAGTGCGATCATGCCCAAAACTTGAACAACTTTATCTTGAAGGTTGCAATATTACCGATATAACTATGACCGCATTAGCAAATTTATGTAATCTCCAGAAGCTCGATATTGAGGAATGCGATAGAATTAGTATCAATGCAATTATAAAATTGCAAAATAAAAATCCTGCTCTTGATATTGTCGGTTGGTATCCAGATATGAATAGTGAGTCGGGTATATCGTTATAGGTTCGAAGAACCATGATATTTGAAGAGACAGAGTCTCGAATCTCCGATTCATCGCCTAGATCCAAAGGATCATTGCTCTGCAATAAAAAATTGTATAAATCTCTGACGCATATATAACAATAAGATCATTATTTTTCAGGTATAATAATTAGTGACTTAGCTTGATCAAGATGAAAATCGAAAAGCTTGAACCAAAATCAGATAATTCGTCAGAATAAAAAAACATAATATATATATTTATAACGAAAAGATGTTATATTGTGTATTTGCAGTGGATGAGGTAAAACCTTCGAAAAAATATCAGGGAGACAAAGATGCACCAGCGTGGCCTTTTCGTATCGTGATGGCAGGGGCTAGCAATTCAGGTAAGACCAATATGAATTTAAACTTGCTAACAATGCC